GATACTGCCGCAATATTCATTATCAAAGACACAGGTCCGATACATCGGTAACAGTTTTACAATGGTTGCGCAAACACAGCCTTTGTTAAGTCTAAACTGTTTAACGGTACTTTACCCTAGTTACCCGGTATACGAGAGTTCAACTGCTGCCAATAGTGCAACTTGTGTCTGACCTCTCAACAATGTCGTAGCCAAGTCATTTACAATATAATGTCTAAACCTGTATACCTGGTTATTCAATAAAACTAAACGTTTGCTAATGACGGATGCATAAAGGAAAGTATTCAAAATGTACCTATGAGCTTGTTTGAGATACAGTTGGAAAACTTGTGCATGACCTAAGAGTCATACATTAACCCTATGTTTAAAACCGTTAATATTTCCCTTTTTGGCAATTTGAAGTGTTAAGGGTGTCTGATTAACAACATTATAGGTTTAAAACATGTAGAACTTTTGTACCTTTTTAAAAAACAACAGGTAAACTTTAGTTTTAACAGTCACCCGTTTGATAAAGATTTTGTATCACAGAGAAAACAACTGACAAAGTTATTGTAATACCCGTTCGACGAAAATGTTTTGTAGTTTATTTAAAGAACGTAGTGTTCCTCATCTTTAGAGATAGATTTATTTTATTTTCATTATTATTATTTGTTTACAAAATATGAACTTAAACCAAATGAATATTTCATATCAACATGGCTTTACTTCAATACCACATGTCAAAGGTCACACATTTGATATTACGTTTACTTACTCAAGTTCTCGCCATTGATACACATGATTCAATCGTTATGTTCTTCCTTATACCACTGTATATGAGGTAACGTGAAACACCCTTTATCAGATAACACTACATAACCTTCAATTTCATAACCACAGGTTCAAAGCATCGTAAATTAAACTTTGAATACTAAACGTGAGAATTACTATTCATGCAGATAACGTTTTATAGAGTGCATATACCAATACCTAATCATTTCAGATGGTCTTTCAACTGTGCGTTTGACCCCGCCGACTACATCCTACACTCCTATAGAGGGACAGACTCCCCCTACCGTCACGTGTTCGTCTGACTGTAACCCAGTCTGTACCTACAGCTGGACAAAGGATGGACAGCCCCACACAACAGGGTCAGATCTCCAGCTCACCAACATACAACGTGGTCGGACGGGCGTGTACAGGTGTACGGCCAGTAACGGTTACGGGAGTCGGACGTCTAGTGACGTCACTGTTACTGTAGAGTGTATGTATTCATAACAGAGAAATTACTGTCTTGTGATAACTCTGTGTATATATGGAATCTTATTAGCATAGGAATAAAATAGTGTGGATTTTTCATTGCTTGGAGAAATACAAAGTATAATGTAATCAATTACTTCTTAATTAATTTACAATATACCATATATATATAACTATATAACTAGTCTCATTATAAATCTTTGCAATGTGGTGTTACTCTGACTTGACAAGTAAGTGTATCAAATGACTGCACATGATTTACACTAGAATTTCTTTCAGAGGAATATATTCCTATTACCTCAACCAGTGGATAGCCGTATTACAACCCCGTTTACCAGAAAGCTACATATGTTACATATTCATTTTAAACCCAAAATAAGTCAATTTTGCAGGAAAACGTGGTATTGATATTGTACAAGAAAAATGCTTACAAATGTAAAAGCATTAGAGTGAAAAGCAAAGCAATTATCTTTATTAACTGATACATTTTATCTTTTGATTCCATTGAGTTTTTGTTTCAAACAAAATGGTTTGAAATCGTAACGGTTAATTGTTCAGTTTGTAATGTGTATGTGTTAATCCTGTAGATGGTCCTGGAACTTCTACTTCAATTTCACCACCGGACACTACCTACACCAAGACTGAGGGGGACACGTTACCGGACATCTCCTGTACAGCTGACTGTAGACCTGGATGTACCTTTGTCTGGACAAAACCTGACAACACCAACTTTCCTGCCTCAGCTGTGTTGTCACTGGGACAACTGGACAGATCAGAACACGGGACTTACAGATGTACTGCTAGAAATATTGCCGGGGAGTCAACTACAAGTGTTATCGTGACAGTGCAGTGTAAGTAAGCTTAAACTAAATGTTCACCCATCTAAATCAATGTCCGTTTAGAAAAGAGATGAAACATACTAATTAACTAATGTTTTTGAATCTTAAAATCATTTTTTAAAAAACACAATGTTTGAGGTGTTTTTTAACATGTATCTATAAGTTAAACCTCTCCAAAAATATATGACAGAATCATCCGTAGATGGTAGTTAGGGGGCATATACACAACTGTAAAACTGAACCATCGGGAGGGAAACATGAAGGGAGTTAAAAACGTTCAAATTTACAAAGCTGGAGATATTTGATTTAATAGACATTCAGCTTGCCACTCGTTTAATATGTCAATGTCTATGCTTTACATCGCACACATACTTGTACACAATGTACCAGTTATTAAAATTGAAATGATTGCAGAGACACTCGCGAATAATCAGTGTATTTGAATAAAGAGTAAACGGTTGCATTGGTTTTCTATAAAAGGATTGTGTGTAGTTGGTAGCGATACAAGTCCTCTACTAATTGTATTAAGTATTCAACAGCGTACATGTAAATAGAATATCCCACACGAGTGTTCATGCTATTTTGAATTTATCAAACGAGTTTAATTATTTGATATGACACCAGCCTTTAGGCAAATTATTGATCAAGTTCAATGATTAAAACATGACGTACACACGAATGAAAGATTATATTTATAACAGAAAACACAATTATCCAAAAAAAACTCAAATTGAAGAGACCTGTTTTGCATTCTCAGGGTTACGAATGATTGCACTAGTCCTTCGCCCTTCCAAAAAAATGGATACTTAAAACGTTTTTATTGAAGATGTTCCTGGTACTGTTACCCTGTCCCCACCTGACACCACTTACACCAGGACTGAGGGGGACACGTTACCGGACATCACCTGTACTGCTGACTGTAGACCTTAATATCATCACACTGTCTGTCCATCCGTCTGTAAGCCTGCTTACAGAACCTTGTAATTAGTACCAGTTATTGAACGAATCCTTTGCTTTAGTGTGTTTTCCGAGCAGATCCTCTATGTTAATGTGTACGATAGCTTCACTCATTCTTATTCATCAAACTCATTTGAAAAAATATATAGATATTATTGTCTAAGTTGCTTGACATTTAACACAAAAAATCAATATGTTTGTTTTTGACAATAAATATCCATGTTTTGTTCATTTAGTATGTAGACGCATATACACGTAGTACACATTCGTATCTGTATTTTGACCCACGTTTAAGTTGGTGGAAATCTTCCATAAGTAATTAATTACTATGGACTTCTTAGCTATTTACTAAAAAAGTCTTCATTTATTTTTAGTTTACTAAAAATAATTTTAACACTTAATTAACTTGTGATATTTAATAAAAATCAAAGTTATTAAAATTAACACTTTTATTTTCTGGTATATAGGCAGTGTTCAATTTAAACATTTTTGCCTTGGTAAACTTCAGAACAAGATTTGTTACACGCTTAGGCAATGATATAAATAGAGGATCTTACATGGGTGACCATGTCATATTGAATTTATTACACAAGTCTAATTATTTGATATGACACAAGTCTCTAGGCGAATGGCGTATCAATTTATTGAACGAGTTTAATTATTGAATTTGACATGGACACGAATGTAAGATTATATTTATCACATAACATTCATAATTTGAAGAAAATGTCAAGCGCAATTAGAATTTGATTTGTTTACAGCTGACTCTATATAGAAAAATACATGTATATATTTCTTCCGCGCAGTGCCAAGTAGTTCCAGATTTTTTTTGTTTGTAAAAATGAACTCTTTAAAAAGCAATAAAAATAATAATAACAACATAACCGTTTCAAATTCACTTGATAAATCAGTAAATGTATCTTGTGGTATCGACCATAAAAAGTATTCCCTGTAGTGGCGTATGAATATTCCATCTCAGTTTTGATCAATCGCAGCACCTTTAGGTTTTATTACACTTGTGTAATACCGTATACTATTCTTTCACACAATAGTATTGTTATATCAAATTGTAAACGTGATTTGATATTGTCATTATAGGAAAAGGTAAAACGGTAAGAGTTACAGCTTACCTACAACAAATCTGATGTACTTTTCAACAGCATATTTACAACATAGTATGGTTACATCGATATTAACACATCATTAGACTGCGTGGCCACATCAAAGTCAATGTTTAAAGTCAAAGTTAACGCAGTTTTACCTCTTGACATCTGTACAACAGGAACCAAAATGGCCATTATGTATAAACAGTTGGATGATATCGAGTTGAGAGTACACATATAAGAGTCACTAGCTTAAGGGGAACAGTTACACTGGAGTCTTAAGGGCTTTACCCTTGCAAAGCCTACATTTCAGTGTTGTTATTCGTTACCAAAGGAGCACGTTTGCACGTTGATCCTTTACAAACAAAGCTTTATCACTTAATTGATGATGTGATAACACTTTAATCAATCATGTTTGCTGACAAATATATTTTCTCTAAGATTCCTAACTAAAAACAAAACGTAGAGCCTTAATTTTGACCTTCAAATTGTGAAATTCTGATGCCGTGATATGACAGCTCTCAACGTGATGAGATGAAAAGAAACAAATTAGTTCCCTGTATAAGTCAAAAGCTTAAGGGGAATTAATTTCCTTAACAGGAGATCACCCTAGGGATTACATGTTTTGGTTAACATTCAGCAGACATCAGATTTAGTCAAATGATAAAAAAAACTTTGAGTAGTTTTGCTTTTAATCCTTTCTTGTCATGGATACAAATTATCTTTTCCTGATGGTATTTAATATTAAACTTGTAATACATATCATATATATGTATACTATTTGTATGAATATGAAGTATATATATTGTACATGTGTGTTATGTGTTTTGATGATTGACTGTAATGAACGTACCTGGTCGTATGTTTAATCTCAATCAAATATTTATTCAAATTCAATTATTGGAAATATCATTAGAAATAATCTAAGCATTTATTCCCAGATGGGCCAGGAGACAGCACTACGTTCGAACCGATGCAAGAGGTAGTAGAGAGAATTGAAAACCAGACTGTCCCAAACATAAAATGTTCTGCTGACTGTAGACCGCCATGTACGTATAGCTGGTCCAAAGTAGGTATAGTTCGTCCAAATCCACTGTCTCTGTTGAAGGTCACGAGGAACAACGCTGGAACATACACGTGTACAGCTAACAACACCATCGGCAAAGGAACGAAAGACTGGAACCTAATCGTCAAATGTAAGCATTTTATTATGGGAACTAGTTCACATTGATAAATGTATCATATTTACTCAATTTGCAAAAGTGTATTGAGGCTCATCAATACACCTATGTGTTCCATTAGGAACGTTAATCATTGTATTGTTATCTTTCATACACACTTCAATAATTTCACAAATACGTGGGTCGGGGTATTTTCAGAGCAACACATATTGTGTTAATGCTTATATCAAAATATGGTTTATATCAGTGGACAGGTTCATTAAAAGTTTCATGTTTATATCATATTAAGTGTATTTTTTCAATAGATGACTTATTGTATGGTGTCTTAAATATCTGCATTTCCTGAATTCCATGTTTTGTCCATTTTTTCTATTTAACGCCTCGTTTCTTTGTCGTTTTAATTCTATAAACATAGATATGGATTTAAAGTTAGAAGTTACCACAGAAACTCATAGGTAATAATTTAAAAACATATATTTAGAAAAAAGTAAAGATCCTTATGACATGTTTTCATAACAGTTAGCAGCTTTTTATTGAGTTTTTTATTGAACCGTTATAATTCAAATATTTACCTATTTGTATAGTTTAATTTAAAATTTACCGTTAATGGGAAGGCAAGTTACTTCGTACATTTGAGAGCAAGAGACATACTTTCAGCAGAGTCTGGTATATGAGTGTAAAAATATTGACCATCAAATTGAAGTACTCCTTTGCAAATTAAGTTTGATGATGCAGTACTCGTGATGACCTGTAACTGAGCGAGATCGGGTTATCTCAGTCGAGGGCTAAGATTCTGTAGCAAAATCCAACCGAGGCGTAAGCCACGGTTGGGATGTTACGGAATCTTAGTCCAAGACTGAGGAAACCCCGATCTTGCTCAGTTTCAGGTAATTGATTTTGTTTTCTCGCACCTTTTAGTTCGAAAAAAAACTCACTACTTAAGCTACATTTGAACATTTCCAAGTACAAATGTAGTTCGTCCTACATAGATTACAATGTATTTCGCAGTGTAGATTATATTTTATCTACAACATCAAATATCTAACAACATCAAAACTATACATATAACAACAAAACAGAACATTTATAATGCAAATTTGTCAATTTCAAGCAGTTAATGGGCGAATAAATACATAGCAGTGTAAAAATTCTATGAAATGTCAGTAAAGGTACAAGACAGATCGGACGAGATAGACAAATCTAGCATGGGGTATGACGTGGTATATCTCTGTCTGAGGTGCGAGAAATATGTATCCCATGTGTTGTTATTGAAATTTCCTTGTTGTTTAACAGTTTTGTAGCTCACCTGGCCAGTCCGTCCGTCCGTCGTCCGTCGTCATTTTTTTTTTTAAACAACTTCTTCTGAATAAGCAAAAGGCCAAGGCTGATGATATTTGGCCAGTATCATGATGGGATGAAGGGCTACAAAGTGTGTTCAAATAAATGACCTTGACCCTACTTTCAAGGTCACAGAGGTCAAATGTATTTAAATCTTAAAACAACTTCTTTTTAATAACCAAAAAGCCCAGGGTACTGAAAATGGGCCTGTAACATGCTAGGATGAAGGGCTACCAAGTTTGGTCAAATACATGACCTTGACCCTCTTTCAAGGTCACAGGGGTCAAATGTCTTAACATCTTTAAAAAACTTCTTCTTAATAACCAAAAAGCCCAGGGTACTGAAAATGGGCCTGTAACATGCTAGGATGAAGGGCTACCAAGTTTGGTCAAATAAATGACCTTGACCCTCTTTCAAGGTCACAGGGGTCAAATGTCTTAACATCTTTAAAAAACTTCTTCTTAATAACCAAAAAGCCCAGGGTACTGAAATTGGGCCTGTAACATGCTAGGATAAAGGCCTACCAAGTTTGTTCAAATAAATGACCTTGACTCACTTTCAATATCACAGGGGTCGAATGTCTTAAAACCAAAAAGGTTCAGGGTACTGATATTGGGCCTGTAGCATGCTGGGATAAAAGACTACCAAGTTTGTTCAAATGAATGACATTGACCAACTTTCAAGGTCACAGGGGTCAAATGTCGTAAAATCTTCAAGCGACCTCTTTTCAGCTAGTACCGCCTAAGGTTTCGGCTCGTTCCGACAAGTCTTTGCCTGAAGGTTCTGTTGTTCTCTCGGCTTTGACTGTCGCCCATGCTAGGATGGCAAAGAAGGCTGCTTCGTCCTCTCGTGCATCTGTTGCAGCTGGCCTGCAGTTGAGTTTGGCAGATTTGTCCTCATACTACGTTATTCACAACGACAAAATTGAGAAACTACCAGCAAAGCTGAAAACTCACGAGCTTCGGCAATGGCCAGGAACGGCGACTGACCAGGTGTTGTTCTCTGCCAAGGAACACCACAAACTGGAGACAATCCTGCGGCTTTCTCTCGATGGTACTTTCATATTTTGATTTCCTGACAGTTACCCTTTTCGGTTTATCGGAAGTGCCCGTCGGGGAGTCAGAGGTTGATGAGAGTGACAGACGGGCTGTGCCAGGATAGGGTGACCTCATCCTTGCACCACTGTCTTAATGCCTCTGCAGCTTTGCAGTGTACACTGCTGGCCAATTTGGTTCTTCCCAGGCACGCCTCTGTGCTTAAAGGTAAGCCTGTTGAGGAAACGTACCTTTCCAGGCTTTTGTCCTCTCCTTTCGAGGGTCATTGGCTCTTCGGGGGTGCTCTTCCTTCTATTCAGAAGGAAGTTAAGGAGGACCCTGTATCCTCGGCACTTTTGGTTTCAAAAGTGTCGGCTGCTGGTAAAGCAGGAACCCCTCGGGGTTTGGGCCAGACCAAGAAGACGGCTAAGTCGTGGCCTCGCCAGACTCTGTCTGCGGCTAAGGTTAAGTCTACCTTTAGGTCAAAGCCAATGGTAAGGGCAAGCAGAGTGCCAAACCCTCTGGGGGTAAGAAGCAGTATTCCTGACTACTTCCCTTTAGTCTTGGCAAGTAGATCAGAGGTCTCTTTTACCAGGTCTCATAACGGTCGTTGACAGCCCCATAGACGTTTGGGAAGGTCTTGGCCTTTCTCAACTGGACCTTCCAGTAGGAGGTCGACTGTCCGACTTCCTTCCTTAATGGAAGAAGATTACTCTGGACACTTGGGCATTGTCAATAGTTGCGGAAGGATTGAGCATCCCGTTGTTACGGGAACCTCCGCTCACAGCAGAGCCAATCTTGTTCCCACCTCCGGTGGATCTATATAAGGCTATAGTTGTCAGATAGGAAATTGCTACCCTAGTCGAGAAGGGTGCAGTCGAGGAGGTCCCACGGCGCCGGTACTCTCCAGGCTTCTATTCCCATTTTTTTCTGGTGAAGGAGAAGTCGAGAGTTTGGCGCCCGATTATAGACCTAAGCGACTTCAATCGGTTCATGGACTCTCCCCACTTTCAGATGGAGACCCCGCGAGGCATAATTGCCTCAGTCAGGGAGGGAATGAGGGCTACTTCAATAGACTTGAAGGATGCCTACTTTTACATTCTCATCAGGAAGTCGGACAGGAAGTATCTTCGCTTCTCATGCGAGATATTCAAGTTCCGGGCTATGCCTTTTTGGCCTTACCACAGCCCCAATGTGTTCGACTACTGCAGGTTGTGGTAGGTTTCCTGCACCAGCGGAGTATCACCATCCATATTCAATTCGACGACTTCCTCATGCTTCATTCACTGAGGGAGAAGTCAGAACTGTCTCCGTCCCAGGACTTTGTGTTCCTAGGCTATCGTTCAACGTAGCCATGGGTATAGTCCTTCGAACTCAGGAGACATTCATCAAGGAATCTGGTGCTTCAGTTTATCCAGAGTTCTGCGCTACAGGTTTGTTGGTACCTCAGTCTGCTGGGGTTTTTCAACTCACAAGCAGATGTAGTTCCTCTTGGCAGGCTGCACATCAGACCTCTGCAGATGTTTCTTCTCAGCCATTGGGTTCCGCCGTCGCGGGATTGGGATGCTTTCTTTCCTTTCAGTTAGTCGGTCAAGGAATTTGCCCAATGGTGGACAATTCGGAACGATGTCCTGAAGGGGGTGTCCTTGCACAGGAGCTCACCCACCATGACCATGTATACCGATGCGTCCAAGACAGGTTGGGGGCGTACCTGCACGGGCAGGATCGCTCAGGTTCGTGGACAGGCGATCATCTTTTCGAGCACATCAATGTGCTCGAGATGAGAGCAGTGTTGTTGGTCATCCAGGACTTCAGGTCTTATCTGCACGACCAGGTGATTTGCGTGGCAACAGACAACTCAACTGTTGTAGCTTATTTGCAGAAGCAAGCGGGCACCAGGTATCACGTCATGTGTGCCCTGGCCTTTCGCATGTTGCTACTTTGCCAGAAGTTGTGCCTTACCATTCCGGTCACGCACCTTCCGAGCATACTCATTGTCCTTGCAGACACCCTGTCAGGACGTCTTGAGCCGGTTCTGACGGAGTGGCAGCTAGATCCATCCATATTCCGAGCAATATGTCTGGTTTGGAACAGGCCTCATGTAAACCTATTTGCCGCAGCCTTGACCATTAGTTGTCGACGTTTGTGTCTCCCATTCCAGATCCAGCAGCATGGGGAGTAGATGCCCTATCTTCGGACTTGAAGGGGTTGCAGGCTTACGCCTTTCCCCCCTTCAACTTGGTAGCCAATCTCCTCCAGAAAATACGAGGAGCAGCCTTGCTCCCTAATTCTGGTGGCCCCTTTGTTGCCGAGGCAACCATGGTTCCCTCAGCTTCTGTCTTTTCTGGAGGAATAGCCTCTGGTCCTCCCACCCAGGTGGAACCTGTTACGACAGCCGATGTCCAGAATCATGCACTCCCGCCCGGCTATACTCAACCTTCACGCGTGTCAGACTGTATCGCTAGGTCCATCAGTTCTTCCGCGGCAGTCTACCAGTCTAGGCGGAGCATCTTCTGCGATGGGTGTGGTCAGAGGCAGGTTGATCCACTCAAGGCCTCTTTTCACCTAGTTGCAGATGTGTTACTGTTTTTGTTTCGCAGTAAGATACTAGCTCCTGGTACCATTGCCGGCTATCTGTCGGCTATAGCTGGTATCTTTTCTTATGCAGGTCGACCAGATGTAGGATCTTCCTCCTCCTAATGTCCGCCCTCATCATAGGCTTTACCATTGAGAGACCTAGAGTTAGGCGTCTAACTCCTCAATGGGATTTAGCTTTTGGTTCTGTAGTCCCTTTCTGGGTGCTCCTTACGAGCCTTTGAGTCAAGCCTCCTTGAAATTTTTGACTTTCAAAACTGTGTTTCTTGTCACCCTTGCCTCGGGGAGAAGGCGTAGCGAGGTTCACGCCTTATCAGCGCATTCCTCCTGTTTACATTTCGGCAGGAATTACTCCTCCGTGACTATCAGGACGGAACCTTCTTTCATCGCCAATAATCTCTGACCTCGTTGATTGTCTTCTCTACCCTGTCAGAACTATCAGATATTATCTGGAAAAGACAGGGAGTGGGGGGTCGAGTATCGCAGTCTAGTCTTGTTTCTGCCCATCAAGAGTGGCCAGTCCAGTTTTTCGCACAAGAGTGGCCAGTCCAGTATTTACGCACAATCCATCTCGCGATGAATTTGCCAGGTTATTAGGCTGGGTTATGAGTCAAGGTTAGGGCCCCATGAGGTTAGGGGTCTGGCAGTGTCGTGGGCCCTTTTCAATGGCTCCCCCTTTCCAGAGGGTATGTCCTCACCCTTTTGGCGAGGACACACTACCTTTACAGAGTTCTATCTGAGATAACTGTCGTTCTTCTCAACCAAACTTTACTCTTTGGGTCCGGTGGTAGTTGCCCAGTCAGTGGCTTGCCCACCCACCTGAGAGTAGAGTGTTCTCTGTTTTAAGATTTTTATGCGTTAGCATGGCGACAGAATATCTTTGCTTGTCAATTATCTTTCTGTCTTTTAATTTAGGATGCTCTATATAAGAGCTTTTCCTCGGTATAAATGTTACAATTGACTGTGACCAGTGTATGCAGAAAAATTGGACTTGGTAAGTATTATTTTTGATATAAAATTGAGTTGTAAAACCCATTTTTATAATAAAATTACTTACCACGTCCAATGTGAGTCCCACCCTCCTCCCTGGCTCCTCCGGCTCCTTTAGACTTTTTGCTTTTAGGTGTTTTGTTCGTGTTTCGAATAGAGGTTGGAGGTGCGCGAGCATCCTACATCCGTATGTCCGGTTTGGACAGGGATTAGTTTCGTATTTGCGCGGGGCATTTGAAACTTTACTTTGGGAGTTAAAGAACTGGTATTTGGAGATCATTTGCATAATAATTGGACGTGGGAAGTAGTTTTATCATAAAAATGGGTTTTACATAAAAAAACTCAAGTTCAACCTAATGTCCTTGTTCGACATTCAAGGTCACATACGTGATATGTTTAAATCTTTTAATAGGTTCTTATGAATCAAACACTGATATTTTGCCTGTAGCCGAATTTTAGTCCACTTTTAATGTTACAAGTGTGAGATTATTACCAGGTGAGCGATGCATGCCCATTTGGGTTCTTGTTTTTATACAAAATAAATATGAACATATTATTTTGTTAATCAGGTTTGTTTCTTCCTCTTGAAGTTAATCATCTATTTTGTTTCTATGATCTCTAAATCACGTAATTAATTCTAAACCAGAAATTGAGTAATGATTCAGCTCCAATTTCGAATTTAAATCAAAACTGTATTGTAATGCATAGATACATGAGTAGTTATTCTACATTTCAGTTCCTCCTGAAATAGACAGTCTTCATTACAACCAAGGAGATGCTGATGTGACGGAACACGGATCGAAGACTCTCATTTGTAAGGTGGAGAGTGTCCCATCGTCTACAATAACATGGTACTACACAAACAATGATACACAACTGTTAACCGCAACAGATGTACTGGAAAGTAGATACATACTGACTTCTGCTGGCTGTCTGGACACAGGAATGTACACCTGTTCTGCCAGGAACAGTGTATCTAACACAGCAGTGACCAAGGACATACGGATCAACGTTTTGTGTATGTTGTATTTTCTTTACTGATTCAAAAACCACGAAATTAGTATCTGCCTGAATTGTTGACTCTAAAAATGATGATTAATCTGAAGTCATTGCTTATATATATATATATATATATATATATTCTTACTCAGAATACTTCGTGTCGACATTATGATTAAAATAAACTTTTTGTGCAGCGATTCATTTGAGGCAAAGCGATAACCGCCATGCGATTCATTTGAGGCAAAGCGATAACCGCCATTCTTAAGCTAGAACCACTAGAATGATAGATAAAGTAAGCAACCGATACATGTACATAATACAAACGGAAATACAGTGGCACATCTATTCTAGTACATTCAGTCACAGATAATAGTGTTTATCCGTAGGAAACTATGTTTAAAATAACGTAGGCAAGTGCTCTGTTATAATGAATAGTCTTTTTTGAAGACAAAAATAAAGAAGGCTAACTTTTGCGTCACCTGCAGCCTTCGTCTCCAGATTAAGAGTCACATGACAACCTAAGCTCTAAGTCATGACCACATATCCTGTGCTCTAACAAAGAAACTAGAGTCAGTGAAATAGGCAAAGGTTGATAAAGTCGTTGAAACCATGTTGCAAGATTAATATTGTACTCAGATGTAAGTCGAAAACCATATGAACTACTAGTATCCATCCAAAATCTACAACCATATGTTCCTGTTCATTTAAAATCGACAAACGTATCTTCTCGACCATTCAGATCTCGAATAATCCGATATTTCGACCTTATTTCTGGACCAGGTGTCAAAGACTGCCAGTGCTCCTTTAAAAGGAAACCGGACAAAGACATCACTGAAATTATTTTCCCGACGTAAGATATTACACTAGTGCTAATTTCGAGGACTATATTGAAGTTTTGGGTGAATTGACTCAAAATTATAAAATCATTGTCATCCCCATGATTAAATGGGAGGTGTTTTAAATAAAGTGCCAAACTTACGGTTGAAAGCGTTGTGTTTTTCCTTACGGTTTTTATTGACTTCTTCAGGTTTTGTTTTCATGTTTTAAGAAAATGTAGGTGTACATTGAGACATTGAAATCAAAACAACAGCAAGAACGCTTTCGATTTTTCATGAACAAGCATTCTAAAAATATTGCGAAAACGTCACTATTAAAATTTTCCATGCTCCTACCCATCAATACGACATTCTTCATACTTTTGAGATTATAAGGCGATATCAGCGGTTTTTATGAGATTCAACTATAAAGAGAGTATCTAACAAAAATTAGAAAGAAAAAAAATTGCGTGACTTGAAGTACGATAATACGAATTTTACAAATTTCAAACAGAATTGACGGGGATCACGATCTAGAAAAATATTGATTATAGATCGCACGAAATGACCAGTGCGCTTATTAAAAGCATTTTTGCTTTAATAAACATGGCAAATATGAAAATGTATGCATTTAATCCAGGGCTTACACCAGTTTTTTAACAATTCTTATGCTCAAATGTTCGCCAAAAGTTAATTTTCTTGCACCAAATTTTACATTTATTAGCCAAATAGTTAAACCTTTCCACCACTGTAGACCATAAAGGATTTATCAAAATCAATGCATGGAAGAGTTTACTAAAGTTACATAGGGGTGAAAGGGTTAAAGGAATAAACAAGGCACCGTGGTAAAAAAAAAAAAGTTCAATACTTCCCTTTAGCTTAGACATTTCTTTACTATAGCATCACTATTACTCTTTAATCTGTTTGGTACAAAGAGCTCACATAAAGGTTAAACTTCTGTGTCTCGATTACTTCATGACCCCCTACAATATTTAGATTAAAAGTTTGAGTCCCTTAATTTTCCATGTATTAAATTACATGTTTCTTTGTCTTTTTCCTTGATTTCATTTTTTTCTTAAAAAAGAATCGCACCCAACCCGGGAATAAAATGAATTCTTATCAATGCAAAGATGTTGATCAAATGTTTCCAATTAATAATAATTGTAGTCAACTGTAGAAAAAAAAAACGAAAAAAACCCATGAATTTCGATCCAGATCCGCTACGACGCTTACATGTGTATATTTAGTCAGCACTTAGAACTTCTAGTTTGTCCGAAATAACGTTTTTTAGGGAGGAAAGAAAAGTCTGACTTTTTTCTTTCTTGCAATTTATATTGGTTTATTACCAATTCGTTCTGAATAGTCACGGAGTTGATGAACATATTGGCCTAGTTAATTGTCTTGCGTCAAATTGTACATTTATGAGCAAAAATAATTTAATGATCCCGTACAATATTAAGATTAAAATGTTGTGTCCCTAAATTATCCATGTATTAGATTACATTGTTCTTTGTCTTTTTCCTTGATTTCAGTTTTTTTTTTCTTAAAAAAAGGTCCACCCACCCCGAGATATATAGAATAAAGTGAATTCTTATAAATTAAAAGATATTGATAAAAAGTTTCCAATTGAGAATAAGTGTAATCATTAGAGAAAGGTCAGCTGTTTAAATATTTGTTTTACTGAATTTCGATCCAGATCCGCTATGACACTTACATGTGTATATATAAAGTCAGCACTTAGAACTGAAATGTTTCGACAGTCTGACGTTTTACTTCTTTTTCAATTTATATTGTTTTATTACCAATACGTTCTGAATAATCACGGAGTTGATGAACATATTGGTCTAGATATAAGGATCGCGTTTCATCACACTTTATTGTTTGCTTTTATATACTAGTTAATTATGGTTGGTTGTATTGGATAACGATTCCTTAGACTTCTCAATTATACCCCCGATGCCCTTGGCTTGTTGTTAGGGCTTCTAACGACTACTGGTCACTTATTGTTTGCTCCGTACAATGTGTGCGCATAGGCGTACCATTCAGATAGGATTAGTGATTGTATTAATAACGTAACACTAAGTAGTTAATTGGGCAGTGAATTCACCAGGATGTGACAGCTAGGTGTCACTTTTACCTATGTTACAGCTATATACTGACACAGGACATTTTTTTTGTAAGATATTGACAGAACAACTGGCATTAATATGCGCCAATAAGTCACCAGGACTATTTTGTATCGTCAACATATTATTATGTTTGCATTTGGCGCTATTGGCAACCACTGACGTGAACTTTGCACTATTTTTTTCGCTTTGTAACTAATCACGCAAGTAGAAACAACGTAACCACGATTACCGCAGAATGAAAACAACTCACACTTTACTTAAATGTCTTTGTGTAAAATATGTTGAAATTTTAATTGTAAATTCACTTGAATGATGATAACGTCGATAACACATGTTGTCATGTTAATGGCGTACTCCAAGGTAAGCTGTAAAATTAACAACGTCGTCAAAGAAAACGTAACGGAAAGAGGCCTAAACAAATTAGGACAGTAAAGCGCACACCTCCAGCTGATTACAAAGGACGTTGTGAGCTTGATTACGCACTCTATTGTAAGCAGTACGCTCCATCAGGTCGACTGAACCCGGCCGCCAGCTCGAAAATATAATTAGGTGTAGTGTAGCTAACACGGTTCGTAACGTCAATACAAACACACCGTTAGCCTTATAACGTTACTTACGGTAAAGAAAACAGTAAATACATCTTTTCGTCCAAACTATAAGGAAATGAAAGAAATATTAGAACTAAATCCATTTTATAAATTTATCAATAACAAGTTAAAATCTTTCTATATAGACATGGAATTGGAAATTTTCAAATAGAAAAAAAAAAAAGCTTTACGGAATTGTTTGATGTCCAGGTATTCGCAAACAAATATGTTTCATATAGCAACCCATACCCACATTCACCATACATCATTATACTAGCTGTATGACAGTAATTAAATATTAAATCATATTTGCATGTGGATGTGCGGTAGTATTCGTGTATATATATGTGTGAGTGTGTGTATGTGTCTACATGTGTTGGATATTAGAGCAATACATAGTCTTATTGTGTGTCTTTTTAAAATTCTATCCCATCTAGGTTCGCCGCGCCTTGATCCGAGAGTGTTCACAGACCGAGAGATTGGGTTGGCTACTCATGATAATCTAACTATGAAAGCCATTTTTCTGTCAAACCCGGAACCCTCATCATTCATATGGACTTTCCAAAACTCTTCAAATAATTCTTTTACTCGGCTAAACAACGGGACAGACAGCTTTGTTATACATAATCCCCCTTTTACATCGAACCTGTCAGTTTTGTCAATGGGGACACGTACGAACATACAAGAGGCCTGGTTTGGATTATATAATGTAACGGCAATCAACAGTGAGGGCAAAGGGACACTCACTTTCACAGTTGCTGCTACAGGGAAATCAATCATGTTAGCACAAAACCGTCATTTTGAGTATGTTCAAGTCGCTTTGCCTTGTTTTTCTCTTGGCGTTTTCGTTGTATGCTGATAGTGTAAATAAGACAATACCTTGTGCAGGTGTAGCATGTGCTATTGAAGATATCTCATATACTTAAGCGGATAACATATATTTTTGAGATACATCATGTATGCTTTGAACATGCGGTATCAATTTAATCAACACATGCAAACTGACATTGTTAAAGCAATCCTGACGATTAGACTTTTTTGTTTTTTGAGTGAATAGGTATTTACATAATCCAATCCTGATGTTTATCTTTCTCTTATGGTGAAAACTTGGAAAATGGGTCGAGTTATGTAGTTTAAAAAATTAAATATCCAGTTTTGTTAAGATAACTGTCATATCACTGATGTACCTTTTGTATCAAATACTGATGACTATAAGCAAAACAAAAGCCACAGACACCTAGCACATATTATATTCCTGTTCTGGTACATGGTAACATGGGGGACCCCATTATTGACAGTTTTACAGTCATTGTAACATGTTTTGATACTTGGGATAAATACAAAATGAATTGATCAGTAATCAAATACTTCCGCATTTTACACGAGTGTACCGGTATTGTGTAGTGTGTACTGCACAACGGAGCAAACAATCGTGTAAGTGTTCGATTCTGAGCACGATGTGTGGAAGATAAGCGCACGGTATTGTTGATACGATGTCATAGACTCACAATTACCTATTTTCACTCTAAAACATATCTAAATGCTGCAGTCGCATTTCCTTGATAATAATCCATAACATCTGATTAATATATTGTAATATTTGAACATGTTTTTAACATACTCATTTATATTAAATCCATAGAAAATCCGAATCCCACTAAGATTTTTTTAGTTGATTGTGGAAAGCAAATGTCTGCCAAAGTATCGTGGAAGGACGGTGGAAACTCCCAGTTTTACCGTGTTTTATTCAGCATGGACGCCTTTGAACATTCAAAAAAAGTGTATCCCGTGACAATTGCATTTGAAAAAGGGAGGAACATGTATAGTTTGAATGTGGACAATTTAGTGGGAGGACGACTATATACATTTAAGGTTGCAGCGTACAACACCTACGGTAATTCAACATCCTCTGATGCTGTTGGATGTACAATTCAGGCAGGTTAGTTTCTTACAATCACCTTTTGTTAACGTGTTACAGGTTACTAAATTAGCGATGTGAAGAGTTTATGTTCTAGCTATAACTACCATATTTTATATTTCAAGCGTTTGAAGTATTTGAGCCCGATGCCAATATTTTACATTAGACTTTTGGCATTCCAGTTACAACAAGATTGTTCTCCTCTTGATCGACCCTTTCTCTCCCAATACTCCTTTAATAATTATGAGTATGAATTTATTGAAAAGCTTATCACGACTGGGAAATTAAATCTTGATGTGTCCACCAATTGTTCAATATATCTTTGGCTGTTTTTAAACAACATGAGTTTATATTGATAGACGTCGATTTCCTATTGACAAACTGACAAACTAAGGTTTTGTTGAGAGATACAGTATAGAATAAAGGCACCTTCTATGGTTTGATTCGCAATCTTATTGAATAAATATGTCATGTACTTATATGGTATGCGGGTCGATGCTTGTGATTATACTCATCACGCATTGTTTCTTTGTCAATGTTCTAGGTATTACTTTTACATTATTTGGCTTTGGCGTCGATAAAGCAGAAGACGCTTACCTTACCGGAACAGAGTGTCTTATTCTTCCTTACTTTTTAATTTTCTCTTTATCATACAAATATTTCTACTTTTCATATTTTGCCCTTACATTATTACTGTTGAGTTCGAACGACTTAAATATATGTTTAAGTTTTAGTTGACTGTTTGCTGACAACAGTCTATTTAAAGAATCAGATAATCTATTATTATATATTGATTGGTTTATAAAAAAGTACAGATACTACTATTTGTTTGATAAAGAATGTTCCTGCAGTACCGACAACATGTATGTAACAGCAGTTGCCCTGATTTGTACCAGTGTTCTCATGCTGCTGTTAATATTTGGACTTGGAATACTCATTAGTCGTACGTATAACTAATTTTAATATTTATTGGAAAAGAAAAAAAAAAAAAAAAAAAAAAAAGAAAAAAAAAAAAAAAAAAAAAAAAAAAGAGGAAGAAAAATAGAGGAAATCGCAAAAATGATATATAAGGTTTATTCATATTTATATTGATCAATGTTTTTCACTTGTTCTGTCTGTTTATCTATGTCCCGGATTGAATTACTCAAATGTTCGTTCTCTATCTGTTTACGTAAAACAAGCATACACTACTTTTAACATCTACCTCTGTTATTTTACAGGAAATGGTAGACTGCCTTTTATGTAAATAAATTAATGCTGTCATCAACTCGACAGATATCGTGTTTTGATTTTTATTAGTTATATACGTCTTTTCGTTAATTTCTTTTTTAATATTATTGATAATACAGTGCTGTTTAAAATCAGTTTAGTTTGAAAACGTGCGTACATTATGGAAGTAAAATCATCTTTCTATGTTAAACATATTATTTTTTTCTCCAAAATTTGATATATTGTGAACAAATAGTTATGAATTAAACAAATATATTGTAATTTTGTGTATTGTTTTGTAGCAAAGGTCAGCATCTGAAACAAAGTGAATTTCAGAACGTGCAACTTTCAGAACGAGGTAATTTCAGTGAAAAACGCTTGATACTCTTGTACACGCTGTTTTAGTGATAATGACCAACATCAATAAGCTCTTTTCTATATACAATTCTTAATGATGTGTTAATTTCGCCATGTCGGTTAGGTTGTATACAATGCAATACAAAATACTTCAATCAATACCCAAGTCTATAGTGCATTCGGTTTTTTTTTATAAATGTGAAAAAGGAAATTTGATTAAATTATACATTTTGTTTGTTTCAGCTGTGACACCTAATAAAGAGGAGGACGAACGGTAATCGTCTTTGAACATCCATCACTTACTCAAAACAACATTCTATTTTATTTTATTAAACTTTCATTTAACAGCTCACTGAAAAACCATACTAAATGCACCCAACATAGCATTCCGCTCAGTCATATTATCCTGATAACGGGTGAACTAGTCGATGCCATTTCCTCAAATGCTGAACGTTAAGCAGGGAATGCCAGCTACCATTTTAAGGAGTCTGGTATGTCCTGGCCTGAGGACAGAACCCATTGCCTTCCTCACCTGGGAAACGTTAAACATAAAAGCCAAAAGGGAGGTTTTGCCAAGCAAGGCACTAGAAAAAAGTAGTTAGAATAAGAAAAAAGATAAGGATCCGAACTATTTCATTTAGTGCAGCAGATATTTTTGATCGCTTTTGTGTCCCTTAGTATAGGGCACAAAAGCAAATTCCAAATTATGCAGTTGGTTTCCATATAAATGGCCTCTTACGATGCATGCAACAGATAACAGCAGGTCAATTGTTTTCTCGATCCCCGACCCGCATGGGTGTAGCGTTATGGTTTTCAACTGTTAAATAGCAATATGACTTTTAACTGTTGTATAGCAATGCAATAAACAAATAATTACATCGTTGTTTTGGTTTTATCTTATATCTTCACAGACCTCCATATGACCAACTCGATACGAATGAAATTGCCAAGGCATCTGTGTACTCCGAAATAGGAAGTCATCTTCCAGGTAAAACACACGGTATCGTCGTATTATAATGACACATTTCTATAAACTGGCCCCAACAGAAACGTTATATATGTTTTTTTCTGTAATGAACTGCAAATACTATAAATTCACCCTGTAAAAATCAATATATGTTGTGTCAGATAAATAAACTTCAGTTTCATTCAAATGTTTCCACGAAACGACAAAACTAGCGTTTATTTAGCGTACACAAAATCAAGTCCACATACTAAATAGTGCGTGAACGAACCCCTTGACGTTGACCACAACCTGAAGTCGGTTCAAAGACCTCATCGGAATCTTCTTCTGCCACTGCTCCTGTAGGACTGTCCTCCAATGTTGCAACACTTTAGGCTGCTGACGTCCATTTCTCACAAAAAAATATGGGAACCAGTATACATTTATTTACTTTACGATTATAAAACAGGTTTACTCAACTTATACTAAATATATTGTTGGTCCTGATAGAGGTCCCAGGTGATTTTAATGCTGGATGGAAATAAAGTATTGTTTCATCTGTATATTAACAGAGTGCTATCGGTTTTGAATGCATGGAATACAAAGTATACACAACTGCTATTTACATACAAATTAATGTTTGCGGGGGATAATATAACTGTGTAAGGTTGCTTGTTTCGTAGGTCGCCGGAAAGATCCAGTCAATGACAAGTGAGTTTGTATCATCACACATTTTTAATTACGTATGAATTGTAAACCCTTTCTAAATATTTTTGTCACATCATTTAGTGTGCTGGCAGATTTTGGATGGTGCATAGTTTATAAGATATTGCAATTCTGTTTTAGCAGAGAATACGAGTCATTGGAGGGTCGGTCTAACCCAAACGTCTATGAAGATCTCCATGGTACAACATCTGGTAAGTATTGATATCGTCTTTCTGATAAGCGATACATGAACTAGAATCCAAATATTGCACAACTTTAAACATAGCTTTGCAATTATATTAGTTAACATCAAAAGACCTTCAATGGTTCTAAAATATTCTTATTTCAGAAGATTACCTTAATTTTTATGTTCTTACACATGAATCAGGTCATTGTGTACTTTAGAATGTTTGTTTTTGTCCGTTATTTCCAAATGTGTTTTTTTTTTTATTTGATGGCTTCCTTATTTATGATTTTAATGCATTCACTTATGTAAAATGCATACATTTTGGGTGCAAACAATAGGGCGAAAAGAAGCATGAGGACATACAAATATGTAAAAAATAATTGTTTAAGATATTAAGGAACAAGTGTTACACGCTAATCGCGTTCAGATTAAATGACAAGAAGCTAACATTAATAATAATAATTTTGCATCCTTATTTTTAGGTGACAAAGAAATATACATCAACACCGCAGTTGCTGAAGGGGGTTCTGGCTCCGGAAGTTAATCCATCTGGTTCACAAGAAATAATATTAATGAACAACCCGAGGAAGCTTCAATTAATACGTCAGCTTTTCAAAAGATTTCTATTGGACTATCAAATGAAGATCGGAACCGTGATGAATAATAATCAATATACATATTAGTCCCAGATATAGCAACTGGTATACAGCCGTTACAGTATGGCAGAAATATTGCGTTTTCTAACGTACTGGGCAATTCACGAGCTATTTCCGAAAAAACACAGGGAAATATCTACACGTTTGATTGACTTAAATACAGCGTGTGTAACTTGGTAGGTGCATATTGTGTTCCGCTCCAAACTGTTAATGATACAAAAAACTTTATTGTATTTTCAGCATTTTAGATTGAGAGGCATATCGTCGAGAGAGTTGTAAACCTATCATGTCTTGATATGTATATCTACAATAACAAGTGAATTGTCCTAACCACATGACAACACTGCTAGGATATTCGCCTATTTATGGATTCATCAGTCGCCTGATGACAGCCAGTCAAGCAGGCGAAAACGCTAGCAAGTATATTTAAAGTTTATATATTTCCATTGTACAGATCACACAGACACTATGTTATGCATTTCTCTGTATATATTTACTCTTTATAGTGTGCTTTTTTTCATTGAAACGTGAGGAAGACGCGGTCAAATAGATACTGGCGCATGAGGCTAGTATTTGTCTCAACAGGTGTTTTTATTAAATTGCAAGATTGTTTTTGAAATCCTGTTGGTGTAGAAATATGTAAACTTAAAGTCTAGTAAAAGATATGTGTGCATTCACTTCATTCCGTTTCAATTAACACGGGCCAAATTGAAAATGCACATAATGTCATATTCACCTAGGAACATTCGTCAACCAAAATAAAAAGGTGTATATATGGTATTTTGCATGTAAAAATGAACTTGTGTTAATACACATGTGAATGTATGGTTTGCAATATACGAAGTAACGCCACAGAAATTGTTAGCTTGTTTTCATTTTATTATTTTTGTTTTATTACCAGACAAATGTTTGTGTCAAAAGACCCACTTATAACTATTCATGCAATGACTCTCTCTGCTACCCTTCAAGTATCTATAAATCAAATAATTCATGCATGGATATGCTTAAACTTGTTAATAGTTACGTTATATTTATGTGATGCTTAAAAGACCCACCAACCCGTTGTGCGCCAACCTTATTTCACTTATTGATATACCATGGTGTTTAATTATGTTTTTTAATGATTAACTGATTTTGAATCATGTGATCTTGAAAGTCACTTAATGTCGTTCAGTTTTATATACTCCGCACCCATTTACGCCACCATAGTACTGTACTGACCAGATTCCATTAACGTAGGATATATGGTTATTCAGGAGAAGAGGTTCGACAAAATAACATATTTAGGCTAAATTAATTTGAATTAACTTGGTAATCCTTCATCCGAGCATGCTTATAGCTAAATATCATCACTGTAGGCCTTGGCATTAAGAGTACGTTCGTTGAAATCGTTAAGAAAATCAGCGTATGTGATCGTGAAAATGGATGAAAGTCAATCATTTAAACGAATTTCGAATCCTTCATCAAAACACGCTACTGGCTAATAAATGGCCAGATAATTCTTAAAAAAGAAAATCTTGGTTTGTTATGACTAATTTTAAGTCACTGTAGGTAACTGTCAAGATTTGAAGCTTACTTTTTTAGTTAATGTTGAAAAAAAATGAATATATAACACTTCTCACTTGAACACAAATCTTAACACTGACTCATGATAGGATACGTGTATGCGTGATTTGATCACGTGCACAAATACCTAGAAAGATTTTAACCTTCTATCAAATGACCTAGATTGGAATATCTTGGCTGAAATATTATCCAGTGGTTCTACATATTAAGTCAAAGAAGCTGTGGATATATTAAGTTTAAAAGGTTCGGTTGTTTTAATATAAAATGTACATGGATATGCTGTAGATTTGCTGAGATTATGTTTTAAATCTCGTGCTTTGATTAATCTAGTTACATCAGAGCAGTCCATTTATTTTCTCTCTCTGTGAAGATCTGTATTAGTGTGTTCATAAATGAATACCTAAAAATAATACATATAGTAATGGAATTATTTTTAAATTACAGTATTGTCATTCCTATTGTTTTTATTGGTGTTTGAGGATAGCATTCAAATTCTGAAATGTGTAAATTGAACATAATTGGCACTGGTAAATGTTTTGTTTTTTTATTTTAAAAAAACATGTAACTTCAAATTGTGGTTAAAAAAGAGCCGAAACGTTACAAGTGAGCATCTGACCTTGTGAAGGTCATGACGCATACTTTAGTATCACGTTATAAAAAGTACTCCACTGCACTGTGCAGTACCGCCTCTCGCGGAACGGGGTTACTTACTCGTTTGTGTAATTATACCATTATATGCTTGGAACATTGACATTTTTAAGTTAGGGGGTTCGATTGCTGAAAAACGATATTAATCATCGAATTTTAAATTTTATAATCTTGAATGTACAAATAAATACAGTAGATTTTCAAAATACCTTCTTCTTAACTAGGCACACAATTGGAAAAGCCAGGTAAAAATGTTGTATACCGAATTATACTTCAATGGTATACAACAAAAACAAGATTGAAAAATCCTGTATTTTACATTAGCACAAAATATTCCATTATCCTTACATTCTGGATTATAAATATATTAGTTCAGCATTACATGAAAGGAATTGTTCTCTCCCAAGTATAATAATGCAAAACTACGTTTTTTTCACTCTTCAAAAATAAAAATTCAGACTGATATTCAATTTTGCCACCCCTATGCTGTAATGAGGTTAATTAATTATCTAAATAATTAGTAGTGTGATTCAAAGTAACAACTCCAGATGAATAAGAAATTGAAAATAGTTAATACAGCAGAAGTTATCTCGTAACACTTCTGAAACGAAGGTTATGAGTGACAAACTCCTATGTAATTTTAACATAGCATGAAATAGTCCCTTTTAATTATTCGTCCCGTTCATTTTGTGTGAGGTCGG